GACCGGACGCAATCAAAACTAACCATGACTTCGCTAGCGGCCATTGCTGACTCATACGGATCATACTCTCCTACAGGTGTTTTCTGGCATTTCCTACAACACAGGATTTGCCCCCATGATTGATCCGAATAAAAAGTGCTTAGACGCCACAGTGTCAGGTCGATACACTTTATAAAAATTATGAGGACTGCGAGCAGTATCAGCTTGGGGACAATTTCCTTACTCTGCACATTTAGCGGCAGCCCTAGCCCGAGATTGACAACCATTTATCACAGCATTAATGAGTAAGTCCGCGGATTTCATGAGTGCATTCACTCGCAACACCATTGTAGATCACTAAAGTTGGAGTCTAGCAAGGCGACATCGTCGGCGTAATGTGGATAAGTTTGCCGACATTCGGGTGCAAACCCAACACTTTCAAAATCATGTGGGACCAGTCCGTAGCGTACTCCAAAAAGTGGATGACCAGATACAATCTTGTTGAACGAACGCTTTGGACTGAGTGCCGTGGACTAGAATTTGCTCAGTGGTGGAGCGATAGTAGGCTTTGGTCAGGGTGATTACTTTTGACGGCAGGCTATCTAGTTCCAGAGACTCACAATGGACGGAATCGAACGCAGCGTCGAAGTCAATAAAATGGACGACCGTCGGTTACGAATATTCATGGCAGAATTCAAGAATAAGCCTCGGCATAGGCATCTGGTCCGCGCATACACACACAACTAGGAATCTGGCTTGGTTGGGCTCCATTCTACAGTCACAGTCTGGGATCGCTCGACAACAGAAAAAAAACTTTCTAACAGCGCTAATGAGGCCTATGCTGTGGTAGTTTTAACACTTGTCTCATTTCTTTATGAGGATGCCCCAACCCCAAGAGCGACTTCATCTGCCTATGCTTGCTCAATCACCCCGTGGAGCCAGGACGCCGGAATGTCGATAAGACTTGTAGATTTCAGCGAGGATACCGTTCTCTACATTGAATCGGCTATTTTTTTACCTTAGTGGAGAAGGGGGGGTCACATGATAATGCATAGACTGTAGAGAAATAAAATTTTTTTTGCAGAGGAAAGCGAGGACGTGATGGGTTTATCATCGAAGTTGAAGTTTTTGAAGTGCTCATGTCGCGGGTTGACCTTGGCTGAGTTGTCAGCAATAAAACCGTCACTAAAAGCAGAGGGCTTGCCATTAACTTGACGGATTATTTAGCAGTTCTCAAGTATTACTAACGCTTGGAACCTGCTCTTTGGAGATTGCTCTTTCGGCCCAATATTCCTATCGGTTATCCTTAGCTGCTTTTACTGTCACCTTTTGAAGTTAGTGGAAATAATCGTAGCAGGACCTGGCTTGAGCCGTCTAGCCAGTTGATTGCAAGGTTATTTTCCTGGTCCAGTCACTGCGGAGCCGCTGAGAGAATCCCATAATTTTATCAGCCTCTCCATAGCTTAGTGACTTTAATAATGACCTTTGGCTACTGCATTCGCCGCCGACTCGGGTCGCAAAGCGAGACCGGATGTTAGTTTTCTGGCCATCGGTGGTGCTGTTTTGTCGAAGTTTTGTGATGTCAAGGTGTCCTGTACGTGACGTTTTGGATGCAAATGTGAAGTGAACTTTCAGGCCTGTGAGAACATGGTCCGACCCGTAGGCATTACCGATTTTGGCGCCACACAATGATGTGTTATAATGAATCCAGCTGCGGAACCTTGCATCATTAGCTGTACTCAATTCGACTGGCTGTATGTCGAATACCAAGTCAGCCGTTGTTTGTGGCGATGCTGAAGGCACGTATTGGTAGCGGACAGTAGATTCTGACGGGCAAGGTTCAATATTATCTATCCAGTATCGCATCTAGAGCCAAGTCCAACACGACTAATAAGGGACAATTTAAAGAGTCCCGTCAACACTCGGCAGAACATGATGAAGAAGGTCTTCAAATAATTCTGGCACCTGCGAGTAGAAGATTTCCTTTATTCGCTCTTCAGACGGACAGCAGACACTTAAGTACCGATAAGACTGCACCCCGTCAGATGCTGAGTACCAGGATCCAGGAACGTTCACATATTCCAATAACAAGGGTCCCTTCCTGATTTAGTAGTGCAGCTCGCATACTATTCACCTGCACCATCGGGGTTGCGGAGCACATCGGTTCTCGTGAAGGCCGTAACATGGGCTATAATATTGCAATCCGAAAGTTTTTCTTGACAGTTCTCCAACGGCCACCCTGACTATTGGTTCGAGGTTGTCTCCTCTAGCGCCTTGGCTCAAGAACTTAACAAGGCGGCGGTTGCAAGCAAGCTTATTTGATAGTGGTTCACGATCGCCATTTCACAACGCCGTCCCTGGGCTGGGCGGCATTTTATAAAGCGTGCCAGACCGTCGTGCCTTGACGGCATTGTCACTGCCGGTCCACGACTGCTTATTCACCAGACTCGAGAGCTCAAATGTTTCGTAGGAGGCCGCTCCACAACTCACCGCTTGCGGACGCGCCGAATGGTCAGCAGGTAGGCTAATGGGCGACCCATCTTTTCGAATTTGTTCAATGTTACATCCAGGAAATGATGCTATCTGCGTAAATCACTGTGCATTCTCTATCCATTCGTTAGCAGTTATCAAAGTTATAGGTCTTCTGACCTGCTCGTACTTTTAAAGTGCGAATATTACCTTCGTCGTGCACCAACTGAACGCTTTCATTTTCAATGCTTGAAAGGAGTTAAGCCGTAAACAAACCTACTAATTGAGAAGAGGACGATACTTTTATTCGCCTGACGTGTCGAGATCTGTCGTGGATTCGCCATCAGAGATATGGTCAGATAGCAGTAGCAGATACGGACCCGTAAACCTACCAATCTCCAACTTTTCTTGTCTCGGGGGAGGGCAAGCGATTCTCCTCTACAACGAAACCCAGTACAACGTCCAATCAAAAATGCAGAGAGGTCAACCCCAATTAACCGCCGTACTAGTCATACGCAAGGCTTAACTTGATCAATTAGGGTGCCTAACCTTAGTTGCCTAAGCAGGGCAGCTTTTCCAGGATAACTAGTGATAGTTGAAGTATTCGATTTACTAGGACGAAGGAAAGGCATCTTAATCACAAGTTCCCTTTTTCTTGCTGGTCGTAACGTGGAGCCAACAATTAAAACTGGGCGCTAGGTAGATGCAAATTGGATAGAAGTCTGCATACGGAAGCTACGATATTGCCCCCATGCTTATCCTTACTTCAATCCCGCTATACCATAACTTTCAACTGAGAGCTCACCGAGGGATCTCGGATGACATTTTGCGACGGTCGATAGCGGTCAGAAAATTCCAATTAAGTAAAGTTGTGAAAAACAATAACGCTGACTGGAACCATATTCATTCAGGTCAACGTTATGTTCCCCGGCGCGCACACCCTATTAGACACAACTAGCCAGAGATAGCTCAACAGTCATCCTAACGAGAAATTAGCTTGTCATCCTCCCAGTCAAGCCTTTTAATCAGCCCCATAATGAAAAACGGAGCGTGTATATCTTGTTCGGCATCGACATTTCATCAGCAACACCAGCCTGGGTGGTAGAACACGGAAAAAGGTAACCCTTCCCGTATTAAAAGTTGAGACACGGAAAGAGGTACACCCCGAAATTCATCGCAAGGCCGCATGTAATACAGGAGGCGGGTACCCATTCTCGTGTTCAACCACCTGGGTTCAAAAGATTTGAGAAAAAATGGGCAGACCGGGCTTACTTGAAGACCTTGTTGACGTGGCCGGTATACTTGCTCAACAGCTCTCCGTTCATAGCATCCATGAGACGTATAGTAGAGTCCTGGGAGGCCACGAGGACGCACTGGCCGTCGAAGGATATGCCCACGGAGGTTACCGGATAACCGATGTAGTCCTCCAGCATTTCACCTGCACACAGAGTCATCAAAATGCAATTAGAAGGTATAAAAAAGGAATGTAAGTCTGACATGCGCAATCCTGTTCCCACTGCCATTCAGGTAGATCCGATTTGTCCACCGATTCTCTGTCAACAGTAGAGTTGAGCAGGGTTAATTGCGGTCAGTGTTAATTAAATGACGTAAGCGTAAAAATAAACCAAAGGGCCAATAAGGCCATGACACCTGACACCAGCCGTCTTCACTGGATTTCAAGTTTGTGGCCTGACTGGAACTCTTGCCTTGCAAAGAGCTCGGTGCAGTCTGTCCTGAAGTCCAACGACGACGAGCGAGTAACCTGCAGACAAATGCAATCAACCGGTGTGCTCTGGGCATTGTTCGGCCGTGAAGGAGCCGTAATGGTGTCAAGCTCGGGTGTAGTCGAGTTCGAGCAACTACCAAGTGCAAATTATACCACTAGAGTGCATTCTTCTCCGAATTTACACAAACGAGCAGGGCTTTTAATTTCCTAACCAAGCGTTTAATGTTTCCACTGCAGCTGGGAATCAGGTGCCGCAACTGCTGAATGGTTTAATTGCCTCTCTTTTTCGCACACACGCAATGCGGTGGAAAAAAAGACACTTCCCAGCATGCTGACTTCAGAACTGTGCTGTCGAATGCTATGACCCTTCCTCAAATACGTCTCAAGAACGCGATTAGCGCAACCCACGTACTCCCATTTTTTATATTCCAACTATTTAGTTCGTGACAAGAAAAAAAAGAACATTTACGGCTTCGGAATGGGCTAAAGCGCATTTATGAGATAAACACGTAGATAACGCTAGGGACATGAACAAAGTAGGTAGCAGTTTAGGGAATAGAAAGTTTAGAATCTTTTCAAAATACACAATATAGTGAATCTGCGATAGTTAATAGTACTCGTCTAGAATTTCAAAAATACGTCTTCTTCCATCACCGCTGTGGTCCTTCACGCTGGTGGCGCGCCTTTCGGCTACTTATCCTTACTGTAGTCGCACGTTTGCGCTTAAGTGTCTATCTGGTTCATTGGTTATTAGGAGTGACCATCTCCACACAACATGAAGTCAGTCCCTACTGTAGAACAGTTAAATTTGTGGTGGACTAGCACTAATCAACCGGTTACGTGACTCGTTTGTCCCGTTCTGCCTTGGGAGTCACCCTCGAGACTCAGCAGCATTCGCACAGCGGCTAGTATAATAGGCAGAATAAAATTATGGACAAAAAGAAGGAAGACCATTTCTGGCTCAATTACTTTCATCAGCCAGCTATACCTAACCGCGGGTGTTGCAAGACCTGAGGCTCTAA